AGGATGCTTAGTTCGCTGGTGGAACTGATTGGGTTTGGGGTCACTTGAACGGAATGAGTCGGATTGAGGTACAGGATCTCCTCGAGCGAAAGCAGATTTGCCAGCTTCGTGATGCTGGACTTCTGGTGGGCTGGCTTAAATGGGAAGTAAAGGAGTTTGTCCATCGACTCTGTCAGCGCCTCCACTTGACCAGACGACATTGTTAAGGACCTTCAGGACGCCGGCTAGTCGTAGTTGGCGTTCATAAATCATCTCAATTCTCTTCTTTCGTCTTGTCAAGCCGAATGGCTGCATAACAACGGGAATCAACCGTTGGCTTTAGTGGGATCAACCGACAAATCTCTTCCTCGTGCAATTTCACCACAACGAGTGGGAACATAACTCCATCTCTTTACAGACCATTAACGCTGATCACGCTGATCGCCGGAATAGTCCTGGTTACGGCAGGATCGAGTCCAATTAAGGAGGAAGGGAACTGTTGTGCAAACGACGTGTACTTCCTGCCACGTCTACGTCCCAACGATAAATATCCACTGCTACAGTTTTCATTAGAGACGCCTCTATGATCATTTCATGGACGCGGTTCCATACTGTCTCTGTTGCCATGGCGCTGATGCATACCTTCTGCATGCCTTGTAATTGGGATGACAGACGTTCTATCGCTTCACCAGCAGTTGAGATGCAATTTGGAAGCCTGGAAAGACCAACTGGCGTTAGGTTGGTGTGTAGAAAGAGGGAGTTTCGAAGAATCACTTAATAGTTTGATGTTGGAGTACCTTTCAATTCGTTTGAAGAGACGAGCGACTACTGATTTGTGCGAATAGGTCAATTTCAATTGTCAGTACAGTGTCTTCCTGTAAGCTTGCGAAAAGATTGGCTCATCTTCTTAGTAAGTGTAACATAAAAATAATGAATAAAGAGAAATTGACACCTTCTTTAATAGTTCCTTCATTTGGACAATTTTCAAACACTCTTTCTAGATCAAGCTGCTACAAGGTTTTGTGCTCATGCCGACCCATCCAGAAGACATTATACGAACACTAAATCACTTGTAA